TATATATATATATATATATATATATATATATATATATATATATATACACACACACACACACACACATACATTAGCAATACGACCAACGTAACAAAGATACTATCCTTCCGGAAACAACATTTCGAACCACGAAACTTCTACATCTGAAATGAGGCAAAATATTATTGGATTTAAGTCTGACACACATTTTCAAACAAGCTTTTGATTATGGGCCTCCGACTGTTGGAACTTAGAAGTGTACCTCACGAACAGGCATGGCTCCACCTCGACCTATCCAAAATCCAAGTCTAGGCTCTACCCCAACTTACAATCTTGGACTCACAATGTGGATGAGTGACGCCAACTTCTCCAGCCTAGATAAATACGTGCTCCAATCACCACTTGGTAGAAAGCACATCAGACAAGCAAAAGGGATTGTATCATGTACGAGTAGGCAAACCTTAATTGTTTCCCATATTAACACTATAAATATCTTCTTAATAGGAGGAATCAGTGAACAATCTTACTCTCATTCAGTCGCTCACAAATCACTTCATCACTCTTTTGAGTTTACACACTCTAACTAGGGCTTCAAGAGTCAACGGATTACGATCCTAACTTTTCATTTGTTAATAACAAATCACCACTTCTTTCTAGACTTGGGCGCATCAAATATAACAAATAAAAAATATTCAAAATAACATTGATGCATTTTATTAGGTTCTATATAACTATATAGATTTTTTTGAGTTTTCAAAATTATTGTTAGTGTTGAAAACACCAAAAAAATTGTTAACATTATTTACAAGCTCAACAAGTGTGTTAGCTTGAAGCCGAGCTGGCACTCTTTACGTGCTCTCGGACCATGTGTTAGGCATGGTGCACTGCCAATTTGGCTCCGCTTAGCGCCACTTTGCCAGCTTGGCGAGCGTTGATGTGTCACTCTCGATTTCCATGCTAAACACCATTAAAACGATCTTCCTTCTCCTCTTCTCTGCAAATTACCATTTTATCTCGTCATTTTCACACATTTGTCTGTAATCGCCACACGCTACATCATTTCAGCTGTTACAGCTTGTTTATTTCACTAGTTCGATCAATTTTGCGTAGAATTCAGGTTTTTTATTTTCTCCGATATGGATTCTACAGATGCTAATGATAGCATGATTAGCATCGGCGGAGGAATAAATGCGGAAGAGCTAGATCATGCTCTTATGGTGGAAATGGCATCCACCACCGGTTTGGATTTAGGTTCGGAAGCGGTTTCGGATGATCAGATAACACCTCTTTTGACGCAGCAGCCGGAGAAGCCCAGACTCGATATCTTCTCTGTCTCGTACCCTAAACGGAAAACTAACAAGGTGATTTTCATATATCTTATGCCTAAATGACAATAGAGTAGTAGTTTAACTCGGATTCCTTGGTTATTAATCTGAGTCGACTCTGTTCTTCACATAACTAGAGCTCGCTATTGATGATTTCATTGTTTTCTCCAACACTTAATCATCTGGATTAATTACGGATGTTGCAGGACCAAATTTCGAGATTAACTGAAACGGAAACATCGCCATTTACACAGTTCATAATGTGGTCATGGAGTGGATCTAGATATTCTGGTTTGGTATGCATGGCGTTATCGTCTTCTGTCTACTGTATCATGTCAATTCTTTCTAATGTGTTCTCTGGTTAGTGATTTTCTTCTATGTATTGCTAGAAAAGTGAAATGCATATTTGATTTCGTACAGATTAGAATTCCGTATCCATGAATCATGATAACATCATACTTGATCTGAATCCTTACGATTCCACTTGATTTGTTTTTGTTTTTGTTTTTGTTTAAATTAACAGCTCAAGCAATTCCCCTATTTGAGATAGCATTTACAAGATGCATAATTATCTCAGCATTATCATTCATGTGGTTAAGAAGAACCTCACAGCCATTATTTGGACCTGTAAATGCCACGAGTCTATTTGTTTCAAGAGCTATTACTGGCTCTATTTCTTTAATAACTTTCATCTACTGGTAATTCCTATCCTTAATATTCATGTAACATCAATGTTCATCATAGTGAAAAAAATCTCACATATCTAAATGACATTTCTCTTTTACAGCATTCAGAGATTACCATTATCTGAATCCATGCTCTTGAGCTTTACAATTCCATTAACAGCTTCAATATCTGCAAGATTCATTCTTCATGAGAATCTAAAACTTGCAGAAATAGCAGGTAAAGTAATAATTACATATGACAATTGACAATTGACAAAACACAAAACCTGATTAGAATAACTGACATCTTCTTTCTCAGCCATTGCTTCCAGTTTCTTTGGTGTAATCTTCATCATCAGATCAATGGTCAGCCTGCAAGGTACAGAAGTGAGTTAATAAATCCTTTTGGATCTTTTATTGTCATGAAACTATAAAAGTTCAAAATGACATTTATACCCTTTTACATAACTTATATCTCTGTGATCTTTTGTAGGGAGGTGAACAAGTACATGGAATACATTATTTCTATGTGTTTTTGATTGGTTTATTATCATCATTGACTGGTGGAATGAGCTACTGTTTTATAAGGGCTGGAGCTAAACAGTCTGATCAACCTGTGTAAGTACTAAAATAGGCAATCTACTTTCAACATATTTATCTAAACAAATTTTCTATTTTTTATTTTTATTTTTTTTATTTCAGGGTGACTATATTTTTATTTGGTTTAGTCTCTACTCCTGCTGCAGCAATATGCATGATCACATTTGAAGTAAGATATTCATTTTATAAAAAAATTATATGATTTTGATATTTCTAAATGCAAACTCATATCTTCAATTTTTTTTTCTTGTAGGATTTTGTGCTTCCTAGCTTCTATACTTTATTGCTTATGAGTATACTTGCCATATTGGCGTTTGTTGCTGAGGTGGAATTTTGATTAAATTATGTTTTTATTTTTGCCTTAAAATTTTATATATCTTAAAATATGAGTTTACCAAATTGCAGTTGTTTCTAGCACGTGCGCTTCAACTTGAGAAAACTAGCAAAGTTGCAAATATTCAATACCTTGAGGTACATAAATGTTCCAGAGTTTTTTTATTTTATTATTTTTGTTTACTTTACTTCTTGTTGAATATTATCAGAATGTCACAATTATATTATATAAGAGGGATTTGGAAAATTATGAAAGAATATTTCAGGAAACATAAAGAATCCTTTCTTTTTTTATATTGCACCCATTTCTGTAATGCAAATAATTCACCCAACTTTTTCTGAAAAGTGTTTTTTTTTTTTTTTTTTAGAAGTTCAGCTCCCCTCACCAATAATAACATGAAAAATATATATTCCTCTAAAAGGTTAAATTGACTTAAATAGCAATCAAATCTCATTTTTCTAATCTGGGGTAGTTTTTTTTTTTTTTTCAAAACTGTTTACTATTTGGAAAAAAATTAAATACATTTATTTATATCATGACAGGTGGCATTATCACAGTTATGGGGTATAGCATCATCAAGGGTAACCCCTACATTTGGTGGTTTCATTGGATCCTTCATCATATTCATATCAATTTCTTGCACCATGTATTTAGGGCCCGAAAAAGACATGGAGTGAAGAACCAAAATGACCAATTTAACCCTCTCTATTTTTGTTTTCATCATAACTTGTAATTCTTTTTTTATTTTTTCTAAAAAATCCAAACACATCAAATACTCAAATACCACAAGAAAAGTTTCTTGCCCCTTAAACTATGCTCCAAATAGAGATACTTTTCTCTCACTTTCACATGATTTTTAAAGAAATAAAATCCAACAAATTGTAAATAATTTATATCGAAAGGTATAAAGTATAAACAATAGTGATAAAGTGTACTTTTTTTCGACAAAAACAAAAACACAAATAACAAAACGATAATCCAACTTTAATCGGAATGAGATTGAGAAGAATCATTTGTAGATAACTTTCCATTACTTGTTGCGTATGGGAGGACTGATGATGTCATCATATTCATCCCCATGGCGTAATTGTATGAATATACCATCATAGGGTGATCATATTTACAACCCGGCCCGTATTTGCAAATCCCATAAAGACTATAATACGAACACACGGGTTGACCCTGTATCCAAAAAGTCAAATAGTCAACTTCACAAACACAATTCAAACTCTTGTTAAAAAATTTCAAGTATATTACATTTTTGGTCCCTTAACATTTTTTCTGTCCTTATTTGAGGTTTTTGTAATGTTTTTGGTTTCTATTTCAAATAAAATAACTATTTTACGGTTTGGTAAAAAAAAATAGTCATTTCAATAGGACCAAAAACATTACAAAAATTTTAGATAAGGACCAAAATTAAAATAGTTATTTTATTTGGAATAGAGACCAAAAACAATGTAAAGACTTCAAAAAAGGATCAAAATTCCAATGAAAACCTTTTGGGATCAAAATTGGAAAAATCACCTATTCATAAAGACCAAAAATGTGATTTGAAATTGAGTATAACTTACGGGTCTCAATGGAAGGCCAACCGGGCTCCACCCTTGGGTGGCGGCAGAGGGCGGCAGCATGATCGGAAAGTAAGTTTGAGGGGTCGGATATGGCCATGGTGGTGGACCACCGCCATGGGATGTTGGTTCTAGCGGTGGTTGTGGATGGTGGAACTTGCATGTGACTCCAAATTTACATGATCCGGTTCGTAGATAATGAGAACATGATTTTTGGTCCTAAACACATTTTTTTTTAATTTAAATTTCCAAATGCGTTATTTAAAAAGAAAAAAGAAAAAAGAAAAATGGTACCTGTCGCATAGGTAGCCCGACCATGTTTAACATGACCGGTCCTAAACCACGCCTATCACGGGGGTGATTGTATTTGCATGTCGATCCGTATTTGCAAGTACCCGTCTTCAAAAAATACTGAAAAGGGTAGTTTGGTAATTTCACATAGGTTTTCTTATATTTACTCCCTAGTGTAACTTTTTGTACACTCTAGACATGATTATCATCGTACCATTTGGTAAGACTAGGACTGAACATGACATGAAATCACAGAACAAAACTTTTAAATTACCATATTGCCCTTGTACAAAATAACATGCATCACTTAAAAGAATCAAATAATCAAAAAAATGGAATTAAAATCCAACAAGAGATTGCAAACATTAAACATAAACAAGTAGGATTATGAAGAAACTTACAACACAATCTGGCTCTCCAACTCTTTCTGGGAGGTCACCTCCATGATGATTCATCTGTAAATTAATAAACAAATGAGAATCGAATATAGATCAGAAAGAAAATACCATAAATTTATGATAAAAAACAATAGTTTTTTTTTTTCTTTTTTCTTTTTTACCTGAGCATTGTAAGTTGGATGATTAAACCTACAATTATCACCATAGCCACATGCTCCAGTTCTTAAATAATATATACAATCGGGTTCTCCAGGTCGATCTGGATACACTGTTGAATCAGTTTCATCTTCTTTCCCATCTGAGTGAATTCTCAATCGCCTTATAGCTTCTAAAATCCCAGAATTCAAGTTATAGAAAAAGAAAATTCACATAATTCAAGTTAATAAAGCCTCCGACTAACACAAATTCAACGAATTTACAATCATTTGCTTGTTTTCAGACTGAAATTACAAAAAAAATTAATGTAAAAATCTAGATGCAGGGTATAAACAGAGAAAAATTGGGGGAAATCAAAGTAAAACAGTGGGCGATAACAGAGTTATACAAATGGAAAACGAAATTGAAGCAATCGGGATATGATCGGAGCATACAGACCATTTTTGCTTGAAATTTAAGCAAAATTACTTACGAATGATGTAAAAATTGTAGAAATTAAAACCGAGGAGAATGCATTTTGTACCTTCAATGTTATGATTCAACGAAGAATTTGAGATGGAAGAATTATTCCTCTGAACACGCCGATTTTCCGGCATACCAAAATCTATTATCCAAAAGACAAAACGTATAGAAACAAATTGTTTGCACAGTGTTTCTCTCTGTTCCGTGTGTTCTTCGCCAAAAACCAATCAACGCCTAAAATTAAGTTAAAAACTTTCAATCAAAATCCAGATACTAACGAAACTCCGATATCAGATTTCGATCGATTACAGAAAACCCAAAACAGAAACAAATGGAAATTTATCCGCTGTCGATGATGATGATCAAGTTCAGAGAAAAGATGAAATACAATGAAGAAGACAAGGAAATCTCAACACCACGCTTAGATTTATGAATGATCAATCAATGTAATGAATGGAAAATCTGCCAAAATATTCTTTTTCAAAACAAATCTACGTTCTCTCTCTAGAAATTTTATTCGGAAATTTCAAATTTTGTACCTTCTCGATCTTTGATCATGAAATTCTAGTGTCATTAAGTAAAGTTTGTTTTTCACGTAAATACTGAAATAATGTCGACTAGTAATTGACAAAACTGTCCCTGGAATCCAGGAATCGGGTTCTGCGAATAAACGGGTTTTTAGTAATTTCCTAATGAATTTTATGTATACAAAAGAAGTTATTTTTGTCAATTCTTACGTACATGTTTAATTTGTATTAAAAAATTATTAATTTATATACATAAATGCATATTTTTTTTTTATAAGGATTAAAAAGTAACTGTCAAATAGATAAGAAATATATAAATATGTCATTGTCCTTTTATTAATTTAAGATAAAAGCATGCCGGTGGAAAATATGATTTTTTCTATATATTTTTAATGTGATTAATATAAGCTTTTATTTTTAAAATAATATTATATTGTTTTATGGAAAAATCGTCGCCGTTAAGGCGGGAAAGTGTTCTCCTGGATGAGACGTGGAAGGATCTAGACCGTTTAGCTATGCGACCCCTACGAGACGTTAAGGATCTATAATCTGTTTAAGATTAATAATTAATTTCTCCTAACAAATTACAATATTCAATTTAAGAAATGTTTTAAAAAAATAAGATTGATTATTTAAATCACGATATAAATAAGAAAAGTTAAAATCATATTCATAGTTACAAAAAAAAAAAAATGTCATTTCCTGTGGGGCCCCACTATGTCTAGGGCGATTCAAAAATAATAAATTACATGAAAACAACTTATTTCTAATATGTATATATAATTTTAGAAATCATATTTAAAAAACCTAAAGACGTAAGCTTATATGATTATGTAAGAAGTTAAGAACCTTATAATACTTCCGTTTTCGGATTCTATATTTGTGTATGGGCTTATAAGATAATATTTTAAATATGCGTTTTCTAAAATTAAAATAAAGTGCAAGTACGTTGATTTAACATACAATTTGTTCATTCAAAACAAGTAAAATTTTAATTTAATGGAGTGTTTATTTATAAATTATAATTTTTAGGGACCACAAGGACCAAGATTGGATTTCTTCGGGTGACGTTTCACACCAAACGTAATGGGCATGGGTGCTTCTTACCGCTTTCATTGGTTACACCAAAATGTTGCCAACAGGAATGTGACAATGTGAGTCACCACTCGCCGACCTTCTCCTCCTTTTTTATTTAAAAGGTTAATGTTATAAAACAATAAATAACATGTACTTTTGCTTACTATTTATATTTTAATTATATTTAATAGGTAATTATACATTTCTAAAATCTAATTACACCATTATCATATGCGATATCATGTCACAAGAGATGAAATATCATCGGCAGACAGACCTAGATAAAAAAAATTATGTCATATTGAATGAAATAGTGTATGTCACGTAAGATATCTACTTTAACGGTGCAACCAAAAAAAAAAGGGACATTTAATACAATTAGCGAATAAGTGACCTAAAAAATAAATTATGTATTATTTGTTGTCATCTTATGACATTAATCTTTATCTAAACTATATATTGTTTTTACATGTTAATAACTTATAAGAATAATAAAGATATCGACCACAGACCACTCATCTTATATTATCTTAGGCTGGAGGGAGTGGTGTCACATTCCCCATGAAACCGCAGTGTCATGTATACGTTACGTCACTAATTACCACAAAAGTGTGGTTTCATACCACACACAATGAGTGGTGCCACACTTTGGTTTTTTTGAATTAAATAAAAACTATATTTTTAATAAAAACCATTCATTTCATTACTTCAAAATAAAAATAACATTACATTTCATTGCCTAAAGAAAAATCTTACAAACTTCAAAAAAAAAAACACAAGAAATTTTAAACCTACAAACTTAAAAAAAACATACATTAAACGATTAAAAATAAACATACTACATGAAGTCGTCCTCCGAGAACTCGTCTTCCGGGTAGACCTGGCAATCCGTGTCTGCGTGTCGTGTATTCGTGTCAGACACGAATTTACACGACACAAATTTGTTAAACACGAACACGACACAAATTATAAAACGTGTTTGCGATATCAAACACGAACACGACACGTAAAAAATTCGTGTGACACGTGACACGACACGAATATACACGTTTTTCAGCCGTGTTACACGAAAACACGAATAGACACATTTTTAATGGCTATTTTTAAGCTATGGCTATAAACTAATTATTGAATTTTACGAAATTGGTCACTAATATATTATAAATATAAAATTTAACCCTAAAGTATATATGTTTGTATACGTGTTTATGTAACGCCCGCAGATTCGGGCTAGTCAATTTAGAGACAATAAGCGTCAAAAATGACTTTTTGATAGAAGGTTATTTAGAATAAATAATCTTAACCAAGTTATAGTATATGTCAAAAGGGTTCCGTACATATAAGGAACGCTGAAATCTGAGATAACGAATAAGTAATGACCTGTCGAAGTTTTACGGCAAAACCGGCAAGACACCGGGAATCGTAAAAAGTGATTTTTTGATAAACTACTTTTTAGCCTTAAATGTCTAAATGAAAGTTGTAGTAAACATTAAACCGAGAACATACATAAAAAGAACGCCCAAATCTGACTTCGTATGAGGAAGTTATGATTTTTCTAAGATTTATCATAGTAGTGCACAGCCCGAAATTCGAATTTTAGATCGGTCGATTTTTAGCCAAAATAATCTAAACGAGAAATGAAGATATTGTTAATAGGAGTTAAACGATAAAAAGACAGTCGAAAACGGAGCTCGTATGCGAAAGATATGGACGAAACTTAGTCCTACTCTTCAAGCGCGGCGAATTCGATACAGTTTTGTAATTCTCAGATAGAATGAGAATTAGCCGACGGGGTCTAAATGAAAGTTGTAGTACTCGTAAATACCAACGCGTGGATATAAAGAATGTCGAGAATAGAGCTCGTATGTTAAAGATATGGACGAAACTTGGTCCATACTCTTCGAGCGCGATAAATTCGATACAGTTTTGTAAATATGAGATAGAATGAGAATTAGCCGAAGGCGTCTAAATGAAAATTGTAGTAATCGTAAATACCAACATCTGGATATAAAGAACGTAGAAAACGGAGCTCGTACGCGGAAGATACGAACGAAACTTAGGGTCTACTCTACGATAAAACCCCTATAAATAAAGGATGAATCCTTCATATTTTCTTCACACCATAAGCCTTTCTTTCTCTCTCTAACTTCTCTCTAGACTCCCAAAACACCTATAAATCCTTAGTAACCTCAAGTTGCTAGAGGAAAGACCCGGAGTGCCCGAAGGCTCTGAGAAAAAGAGCTTTTCGGCTCAGAAGCACTGCTCCAGCGGAACCCGGTTTTTAGCAAAACCCGCTGTAAGTGAGATATGTCTACCCTACTTTAAATATAGCTTATATTTAAATATAATATCGTTATTATGAACCTATAAATAAGATTTATCAGTGATTCAAAGTTATTATACTGATTCATCTACTTACGGGGATGATGTCTAGGCTGTGATTTAGTGAGGTGTTTAAAGTGGGATTTCCAAACAGTATACTTCGTATACCAAATGGACCCTACCTCCGATATGATCCTACCTGGTTGTTACTTACTTGATAGATCATGAAGTAGACTCTGAGTTAATGACGAATCTAGACTAATAATTAGTCGCAATAAATATTAGACTAAAATCTAGTGGTAATAATACTAGGTTTCGTCGAAGGAAATCATATTGTTAATGTAACATCCCAATTTTCAGGTCCAAAAATTTCTTTTTAATTAACAGACTCATAAAAACATTCATAAGAAAATACTGTGAAAACACATTATCTCATAAACAATGTATCATGTCTGAAAACCCAAGTCATAAAATAATAACATATCTGAGTATAATCCCAGAAAGCTTCATGCGAAAATCATGTGTGTGTGTGTGTGATGCGATGCTACGCCGCCGGCTCCTTCCCCTTAGACGA